TATAGACAAATGTATACATAAATTCTCAGAATGAATAGAGAAATAGATTAAGCCATGTCTGTCTGTCCGTCCGTCTGTCCGTCTGTCCGCCCGCCCGTGTACACGATAACTCGAGCAAACATTGAGATATCTCAAAAAAATTTGGTAAGTAGGTTTCCGTTAATCCAAGGTAGGTTGGTGTTGAAAATGGGCGAAATCGGACTGTAACCACGCCCACTTCCCATATAACGGTAATTTCCAGAAATACGAAAACTGCGATATTTTAGTAACTACTGAGAACAATCCCTGTGAGTTTTCTCGCAAACTTAAATTCACTTTCCCCCGGTTTGGGTGATTTGAGATGGAATGAGCTGTATACATTTGTCTATATCTATATCGATTTATTTAGGCTGTTACAAACAACCGTTATGTGAACAAAGTTATAACACCCTGTGCACGAGTGCGCTCAGGTATAAAAAGAAAAACGATTTCACTGAAAAATGAAAAATGCAAGTAAGAACAAATTTCGCAAACTGTTAGAAGCCTTACGTGCATACATTTATACATAAATAGACATCGTTGCGCAGCAAACAACTTAAAGCATTTTTCAGAAAGCAGCTTCGGTTTCAGTTTTTAGTCTTCAAACCTAATTGAAAATAATTATTTATCTACATGAAAATCAGCCCTGGGCATGAGCAAAAGATACAGAAAGCTCACGCTCTTTGTCTTGCCATCCTACACTCGGACGCTAGCAGCTCATCTTCAGTGGAGTATATACTGACAGACACATACATACGGATTTTAGTGGAACTGCTCGATAAGCCTCCATTATGAATTTTTCTAAACGTCTGTATACATATGCTTAGCCGCCGGCATGAATTTCTCATTATTTCGTGTATGTATAACTTATTTCCACGTGCTTCTTTCATTTGTATTGCACTTACGGCTGTTAACTTTCTTTGCTCATTTTGTAATCTTCTTAATACTAATATGTATGTATAAAGTTTAAGTTTTTAATCGTTGACTTTTCGATGCGCTTTTACGTTTCTTTAGAAATTGATGAACTTAAACAGCTGCGGGTACTTACGCTATACATACGGTGACCATATTAACCAACGTAAAATAAAGGACATTCTTTTAAAAATTATTTAGGAATACTTACATAAAACTTATATGATAAAATTACCTTACCCAAATTGTAATCTAAACCAAATATTAACCAGTTAATTGTATTATTTAATTGTACAAGTTCCCCTGCTGTAACAAAAAATTAAGCCAAATCCTTTTCAAGGATTTCGCCATTTTTTGCTACCAAAATGCGTTTACTATAATCCATACTGCAAGACGAAGCCAGCACACAGTGGTTCAAAATTGGAATTTAATATTCATAATTCACCGGAATATATTTATTTTGGTTAACATTTTCTATAACATTTCAAAAATTTGTTTGTGTAATCTTTTCGTTTTGGGAGAACCATACAATTGTTTTCAACTAGTTTTTGTTATGTAACATTTATTAACTGGAACAAGAGAATACATTTTCTTCAAAATTGCTACTTTTTCTGCATTTTTCACTTAATAGAAATTCACACATCAGGCTCAACTGGTCTCTTGCAAATATTATAATCTTTCATAAAAAAATAAAAACTTATCAAACTAAGTAAAAAATGAAGGAAGGCTCCAGTGAATTACGAACACTAAATGCCAGTTTTGAACCACTGTGCAGCAGGGGGTTTATTGTTTTCTTTCTGTGTGTGGAAACTCAGCGAGTAACACGATCCTATTTTACAGATTGTACAAAGGTTACGGATTAAATAGAAAACCTTAAGTGGGGGGCGAAACAAACTGGCGAAGGTTTTCATTATATTTTGTAAGGGACAATTTTATTTTCCATATTCTGTGTTTAAAAATGTATCTATGAAAAATTCAGAGCTGATTTAATGGACAGTTTAAGAAATAAAGGACAAAAGGCGTCCTTTATTTTGAAAAAAATTAACGGACAGGGGGTTAAAATAAAGGACTTTCTTTAAAACAAAGGACGGATGGTCACCGTAGCTATACACACATAAATTACTGAATCGCCAAAAAACTTTGAGAATAAGGATTAGTAAAGTATTGTTTATGGCAATTATGGCTAAGATAGTTGAAAGTCTTTTGTAATAGAAAGGCAGATGGCAAGACAGTTTGAAATATATTGTTTATTCTGGCACGAGTGTCTTACAAAAAGACTCCCTTGCCAACTTTCATGGTGAAAAGCTTCTTTGACAGAAAGCACTTGTTCCAACAGTCGCAAAGGCCTAGTGAGCAAGCACTGTCGAGAGATGCGAAGCCGGGCCCTCTAGCAGGAGTATTTTTATTTGAATATATTTTTTTATTTTTAAATTTTATTGTTTTAAAAAGAAAACAAATATAATTTTTTAAATTTTTAGAAACATATTATTTTCTTGTTTAAACAAAAGTTTGCGATTTTATAGTTTTGAAGAGATTTTATTTTTTTAATTTCGTGTAGTTTTTTATTATTTTTTTTTAGTTTTTAGATTTGGTTGTTAAAATAAATAATTTTTTTAATTTCTTTACATTTTGAGGAACTCATTTTATTTTTTTCGATTTTATAGTCATTATTTTTTCCTTCTTGAATATTTGTTCTTTTAATTGATATTATTTTAAAAGCAAAAACTATTTTTTTTTTTTTATTTTTTTTTTCTAATTTTTTCTTTTTTATTTAATTTTTATATTGTATGGTTTAAGCNGATTTTGAGGAACTCATTTTATTTTTTTCGATTTTATAGTCATTATTTTTTCCTTCTTGAATATTTGTTTTTTTAATTGATATTATTTTAAAAGCAAAAACTATTTTTATTTTTTTATTTTTTATTTTCTAATTTTTTCTTTTTTATTTAATTTTTATATTGTATGGTTTAAGCAGATCTAAATTTTTAAATTTTTGGAAAATTATTTTGTTTTATTATTATTAACTTATTTTATTATTATTATTTTATTTTATATTATTTTCTGAGTTTTATTATTTGTAATTTAAATTTAAATTTATATTATTTTAACCCCAGATGGCACTTATTCATCGAATCGACGACTCTTAGCGTTTAATAAAGTGGGAAAGAAATCCCGAATCTATTTTATTCGAAAGCACTGCAGAACAAATCAAAATAGGCGTCGCACACTAAAGTTTTCACACAACATAGACATATACATATAATATCAACGCCAAACTCACGGAAGAAATGGGGTTATTGAAAAAGGGAACGTGGCACCTCCAACACAAACTGAATTTCTCACATTAGAATGTGTATGTGGTATGAGAAATTCAGTTTGTATGGGATGTGCCACGCCCGCTTTTTCAATAAATCCCATTTTTTCCCATGAGTTTGGCGTTGAAATTATATGTATACCTCTGTACAAAGTTGCAGCACTCTACGATGAATACTTCCAGAGATATGTTNAAAATGGGGTTATTGAAAAAGGGGACGTGGCACCTCCCACACAAACTGAATTTCTCACTTAGAATGTGTATGTGGTGTGAGAAATTCAGTTTGTATGGGATGTGCCACGCCCGCTTTTTCAATAAATCCCATTTTTTCCCATGAGTTTGGCGTTGAAATTATATGTATACCTCTGTACAAAGTTGCAGCACTCTACGATGAATACTTCCAGAGATATGTTGTGTGAAAACTTCAGATTGTATGGGAGTTGCCCAGCCCCCTAGATATATCGAAATTATTTTTCTTCCATTATCATCCCTAGAGGGTCTACTTAGGGTCGATGTTGAATAATATCGGTACAGCTGTTCTCGAGTTTTTCGATTAGAAAAAAGCGAAAACCCGGCTTTCAAAATATACATATATTAGTGTAGATAACGAATGGAATACATTTTTTAATTAAATGTATCCTATGGAAAAATATTTATGAATATTTTTTTTTTCAACAATTGCAGACATTTGAAATTAATTTCAAGAATTTTCCAACAGAGGGAAGCATTCAAGCGTGAATTTTTTTTCTTTCATTTTTCAATATAAATAAATAAAAACCAGAGCTTTTTAAAAAATCACCAGGAATAGATCGACGCGAAATTTAATTGTCTTTTATTTAATAGAAAGAAACTTGAAATCGCAGCCTTTTTTGGCCCACTGTGCGTCGTCGAATCGACGAACATGGGCCTTAGCGTATAAAAAATATAAAGTGCCATCTAGGGTTAAAACTTAAATACATTTTTTGCAGCCAATTTCACGCAATTTAAGTAAAAAATTATTTTAATTTTTTGAATTTAATTGGAAATTGACAGAAAATAAGAAATCAGTTTCCATTTCAACGGCTGGTGAAACCGGCGCTTAGTTTCATTTAATTTTTATTAACTTAATATACTGGTTTTATTTGTATTTATTTTTGAAAATTTTATTGGTAAAAACGGAACAACGTCCAAAGTAGCCATAGAACGCAGGAAGACGCTAAACCTGCTGGCATCAAAATGCTCTTTGACTTGACTGGTCCCTGGACATAGGGACATTCCTAGCAACAACCCGGCCGACGAGCTGGCAAGGAAGTGGACGGANGTTGTACTGGTCCCTGGACATAGGGACATTCCTAGCAACAACCCGGCCGACGAGCTGGCAAGGAAGTGGACGGAAACACCTGCCATACTACCAGGAAAATTTTGCCAAAAATTGATGTAAGACGATCCGTAGCTCTTACTTGGCTGGATCGCTCCACTCTCAGATTAGTAGTCGGGGTAATCACCGGACGTTGCCTCTTGCCTGATGGGCACACATCGTAAAGGGTTAGGATATCCCACAAACGATTTTTGTCGCAATTTCAGGGACGAGGAGGAGCAGGATACCATCGAACACAATCTCTGTCATTGTCCCGCCCTGGCCAACACGCTCAACTAACTGTTCAACAAGTACTTTCTGTATTGTTTAGCCGACTTGAACTCGGCGAACATCCTCGACTTTTTGTGATATATAAACGCACTCGTTGGTAAAATTACTAAGTGAAGGAAATAATCAAAAATGGCTTCGGCCAGTGGTATCACAACGGGCTTTCCAGCCTACGTGGGCTCCGTGCTCTGCGAGGAGCAGCCACTCTAACCTAACCTAACCTATTGGTAAAAACTAACAGAACCAAAAAATTTTCAATATAGTTGCACCAATTGACAACTGATTTACGAAAAACTTTTGTCTTTAGAATTTCCCTGTTGGCCACTGAATCGAAATGCTTCGTGAAATTTTATACATACATATATATGTATATACCCTTGTGGTCAGCTGAGTAAGTTAGGTGACATTGTCACGAAATATGGCTATATTTCTTTTGTTTATTTAATGTTTATTAATAATAACAATAGATTGGCGGTGACACAAAGGGGAGGGACCTACAGTTTTACACCTACTCGGAACGACGATTGTATTTTTATGAGAAGCTGTTTTTCATGTCAGAAATACACTCGGGGGGCTTGTCATTACCTGCCGCCATTAGAAAACAAATTATTTTTTATTTTTTATTATTATCTCACTTCAACCGTGCAAAAATTATAAATGCACCCCATATTGACCAGTTTCAACAATTCATACTTTGCTATTGAATTAAGTTATTCTGTGTAGTTTATCATTTAACAAAAACCTTCAAAATTCAAGTTTTGAACTTTGTACAATATTGAACAAAATAATTGAACAAACTCCCGTAAAAATTGCAAGCCTTTTAATTAAATTTCTTAGAAATATTTTTAGTATGCAGTTTTATAAGCTATTCAATTTTAGTACAATAATATCTAAGCTTGAAGTGGCAGAGCTTGTCGCTGATTTTTGGCAAAAAAAATGACAAAAATCGGTATTCCTGGCTACTTAAACCTAACGCTGTATAATACCGTAATTTATTAAAAAGTCTGAAATTATGATGAAAATTGTTTGAAAGTTTTTTTAAATTTTGTCAAAGTTTGACTCATATGGTTTGTGTTTGAGAACTAACTGAAAAGAAAAATCTTTTAAGCCATGTTTGTACATACGGACAGGTTGCTTAACACTAGAATGGCTGGAAAACCGACACACCATGAAAGACGGGCGGGGTCATTTTATCCAACTATTTTAAGATTAGATTTGGTAACAAAAAACTTGCTGACGCACATAGGGGTATTTGACCGATTTAGGCGGCCAAAATTATTTTTATGAAAATTTTAACTCAAAATGCTTAGACATATTACGACATTTAAAACTGTAAATGTTTAAAATCAAGTAAATAGAGCGGGAGGATGTCCAAGTATTCCACCAAAAAAACGAAAAAAAGGTGCTTAAAGTTCGACATCGATAGACTCCATATTATCGAGGTCCCATTGTAGAAAAATTGAGACCTACGTGTTCGTATCGGCGAGGAGAAGCTTTATATCTAAGTTAGAACAATGAAAGGGTTGTCACCTGCTTAAAAATTAAATGCAATTAAGTTAAATTAATTACTACAATGTGGGTAACATTCGAAATGGGTTTTAAAAGGCTTTATTTTCAAGAAACGTGTAGGAGGGTTGCCATATGTTTAAAAATTAATTTATAAGGTTATAGTTTGAAACTATCTTAAACAGGGCTGCCACCTTTTAAATTTAAAATTAAATACAATGTATATAGTAGGTTAAGTTAAATATAACAATATGAATATCATACATAGGCAAATCTAAACAACAGGTAACCTTTGTGTTATTTAGCTTTATTTTCACTGTTGTAAACTATATGAAGCTGGTTGCTTTTGGATATAATTCATTGACGTATACTTGAGGCCTCAAAAAAAATGTTGACCAATTTGCTGCATAACTTTTGAATTATAGGTGTTTAAATTAAAAAAATAATGAAAACAAATGAATTTTTTATGTAATTTTTAAAAGGGGCACAATTAATTATGTCAAATTAGCTTTTAAGATTAATAACTGCTGGTTAGATTTCGAGTTTGATTGACTCTCTTGGTACGCGATTTAATATTTATGTGCCCGATTCGGTGATGAAGTAATTTGTTTAAGTACTTCAGATGCATCTCTCATTCCTGCTGACCGTAATTTTATTGTAGTAGCTAGAGTCAACTCTTCCGTATCACTACAGTTCCGTAAATTTTCGGTTGTACGTCTCGTCGTTCTATCGCTGGACTCAACCAAAGGTNTCCGTAATTTTATTGTAGTGGCTAGAGTCAACTCTTCCGTATCACTACAGTTCCGTAAATTTTCGGTTGTACGTCTCATCGTTCTATCGCTGGACTCAACCAAAGGTTTGGTAGGCCGTCCTGGAAGACTGGTCGTTTTTGGTATAGAAAAGGATTCTTTAATCCATTCCTGATTATTTTTTTATAAAAGTATCGGCTATTCTATGGGCTTCAGTCCACTTTTTTTAATTGGCTTTTCAATTTTTCAAAACTATTTTTACCACAGTCATTTATTCTTGGAATAATTTTCCGACTTCAGTTCTTGTTTTTGGGCCGCATCTATCTTTGCTTTCATTGAAGAAATATTGCAGCATTCGGAAACTCGTAAAATTTCTCCGCGAACTATGAACTTGACACACTGTGAATTTTTATTAAAGCTAGAATATCTTCGTGTTTTAAGCATTTTTAAGTACACACGCGGTAGCAAATAAATATCTGATATTTGAGTGTTTAAGCCGCTTGTATTTTATATACTGAAAATAATGAATGTCAAAACTGTTTTATGCAATGCCTAATGTTTTTGATGTAATCAATTCGCGAATATTCGAGCCTACTCTGTATTCAAAAAATTCTTAGGATCTTATTGCCTTAAAAACTGAGTATTTAAAAACTTCTTACGATTTTTTTGCCTTAAAAACTTATTTGCATATTTTTACTAGAACTTACCGTCAAGCAGAGATTTTTTTTCTAAATGTACTGACAACTATGTATTTTCTCCTCTGTAACTCTCCAAACTTTTCAATTCAACCCATCTTTAGCTAAACGCCCCCCCCCCCTCCGTTCCCCCTTTACCTATTGAATACTTTTAAGGGAAACTGGTACAGTACTGCAGCAATATTTTCGGTTCATTTTTCGGCAGTAGAAAGTATTTCCAACGGCCACTGCATAGAAAACGCACATTTTCAGCAGGTTTTTTTTTTTTTGTTTCCAAACTATGAATTGTCAAGCATAACCACCAAGCAAGAATCTCAGCGCCGTTGAGTGGTGTTACATAACTTTATGACTGTAGTTTATTCCTCAGTTCATATTATATTTGTATTAAACTATGTGGATTATATGGTATATAATTAAAATAATAATATAATTAAAAAAATTAACACACGATTTAGAGCAGTTTTTTACCACTTCGGCTTGTATTAAACACATCTAAAAACCAAATAATCAATTATCAACACGGTACTTTGACAGCGCGGTGCGAACGAATGAAAACAAAGAGGGATTAAAAAATAACGAAATCTAGTCAAGAATTATATTCTCTTCACCCTATATTCAGTTATAAAAGAAAAATGTGCCTTTTTAAAATTCGACTTTTGGTCGCCTAAATCGGCCAAAAACCCCTCTGTGTGACGGTTTAACCATGACTTTTTCTCCTCTGTCAGTTTTCATAACAAAATTAAAATAAAATAAATCATTTTTCACTTAAATTGCTTTAGTTGAACTGGGTGTTATAGTTTTAAATTATAAACTGTTTATTCCTTCTAAAACTAACATAAGATTTAAATTTTCCTCTTTTTTTTCTTAGTTTAGTAACAAAAAACCATAACATACATATATATGTACATTAAGGTGCTTTTTTGCGACTATTGTTTTTTTTCACTCCTACCTCGAAATTTTATGGAAAACACCTAAAAAAACTCATGAAAATTTGAACCCTTAATATTCACATTAAGTACTCTCCCAAGGTGTGCAAAGATTTCCCATATAAAATGCGCGTAGACTTGTAGGTTTTTTTTTTTCAAAAGTCTACAGCTCAGAGGAATTTTATGATACGATCCTGGTCAATGATGGCTTTTCTTCAGAATTGAATGCTCTTTCAAAGTGCTCATTGCGGTGGAATCCTAACTCCCACCAGCGAGGTAGTACGGGTCACTAAAACCAAATTTTTTCATGAAATTCTCGTTTTTTTTTTGCCTCTATCTCGAAAATGACAAGAGCCACAGAAAAAATATGAATAACAAGCATGTAGGACATTAAATTTCCTACAAAAAAGTTATACAAAACCACATCGCTAATATCACATTTCTTGAGATATTGGGCTTTGAAAATGATCAACAATTTCTACAATTTAGCTTAATAATCCATGAAAATTCCACACTACCTCAACTTCAAAGCCCAACACCTCAAGAAATATCGATATTAGCGATTTGGTGGCCCAAAACTTTTTTGGAGGATATTAAAATTCCTACAAATTTGTCATTTATATTTATACCTTTCATGCGCATTACAACTTTGATCCGATGTTTGTAAGTACCAGAATAAAAAGAGATATACCAATTAAAATGTATACTTATATGATCAGAACGTCGAGCTGAGCCGATTTAGATTGTGTAAGTGGACGTATTTTTGTATTATATTAATCATTTGTCGGAACCGGAAGAATTGGATTGTTCAGAAATGAGGTCTTTTATCATAACTCTCCATTTATGGGAACATGAAATTTCGCACTGTTTTCACTCATTATCAACAGAATACTTACAGTGAAAATAACAAGGATCGGGTCACTGTAACATATATCTCCCATCCTAGTGATTGTTCAGATATGAGAATTTCATTATACCTCCTGCATTTATGTAGTTGGGAACATGAATGAAAACTTCCAGTGGAAATGGTGAAGATTTGGTCGCTATAACCTATAGCCTCCATACAACGGATTGCTCAGATATGAGTTTTTTTGTTATAACTTCTCCATTTATGCAGCTATAAACCTTAAACTTCGCACTATTTTCACTCATTAGCAACAGATAGTTACAGTTTCTCTAACTTGTTTTTTTTTAGATCTTGTTTTTTCGAGATACGGGCAAAAAACTAGAATTTCATGAAAAAATCAACACTTTTGTGGAGCATTCAACTCTGAAGAAAACCCATCATTGATCAAGATTATACAGTAAAATTCCTCTGAGCTGTAGACTTTTGAAGAAAAAAACTCAAAGTTTACGTGCATTTTATATGGGAAATCTTGCACGCCTTGGGCGAGTACTTAATGTTTATATTAAAAGTTCATATTTTCAGGGAATTTTTTTAGGTATTTTTCACAAAATTTCGAGTTAGAAGTGAAAAAAACCATAGTCGCAAAAAAATCACTAATGTACATGTTTGCCAAACTATTTATATCCGCCTTTTCATGTAGTTGTACTACTTATTTAAGTTTGAGGCACATACATAAAGAGAAACTGTATGCATTTTTAATAAAAGACACGAAATATTAACTTAGAAAAGTAACTTTCTTCTTTTCTTGATCTACTGAGTCGGGTACATGAAGTTAGGTCATGCCAGAAAATATACTTTTTTACTTGTTTTTATTTATTACATACATATTTATGTTCTAGACGTCTGCATGAATCAATTCAAAACGATAAATGAATCATTCATATTCTAATTAAATGAATGTGATTGACTATGACTTTTATTGAATTTTAATGAATAGGTGTGTTGTTATGAGTATCGACAGAGCAACGTTCAAACGTTGTAAAACGAATCAACTCATGCAGAGGTCTAGTTTGTACATATATGTAAGTGCATTTTCGAGTTTTAAATTAAAATACTATACTCTCATTCCTCTTTCTTTATTGGCGCTGTAACCGCCTAAGCGATTTTGACCATTTTTTATTGTAGTACATGTATTTTGGAAATCTTGTTTTATTCAATTAATTTTTCCAGGGCAATGTTCTTGAAAATAATCCAGGCGAAGGTATCATCGTGTCGAACCAGAGTCTGGTGCTGCAGAATGTAAGCCGCGCTCGTGGAGGTATCTACACTTGCATCGGTAGCAACCGAGAAGGCGATGGTGAGAGCAATCCAGTGCATCTGGATATACGATGTGAGTATCAAATTTAAAACAAAAACTACCGGCAGTTGCAATGTACACACAGGAAAGCATTCGTAGAACAATGTTACAAATTTTTTGCGGCGGTAGTGCAACTGGCATGAATGAGCAATTTTTTACGACACCAAAACTGAGCTGAAAAACAAATATTTTACTAGCCACCTCTCAAATTTCATACATATTTTGTCGCACACAATTTTGTTGTAGTGTTTCTAGGCAAAAATTTATTTGTTCTTCCGTCTTCAGCAACCTATCTGCAATCTCAAAAGAATGATAAGCATGCAATTTACAGCTACTCGCTTGCCAACTAAAAATTATGAGCTTTTCATAAATGTGTGTATGTACGTGCATATACTTTACACAAGAAAACTGAAGGCACATCCTGCCTACTACTTTTGAGTGTACTTCTGCATATGAAAATACATACATACACACATTTGTTCGCTCTTAACCTGTTGTCACATTTTTCCTGCCTATCTATTTATCTGTTTGTTTGCTTCCCAGGTTTCCTAGGCTTTACTTTGGATATAGAAAAAAAAAACAATTGTCTGCCAACCCTTATGGCTGGCGAAGAGAAATTACAAATAAACTCGAAATGCTGCAAAACAAATCACCAAGCAGGCCGACAATCCTTTGACTCAGCAGGCAGCGGTTGCCAACCTACGCTTACCCGCACACATCCATATATGTATGTGTACATTTAGAAGATTTTACTTTCGATTTGCAAGTTGCATCGAACC